TATATATATATGTATTTATTATAATATTATATTTATATATAAACTACATATATACACATATATGTATGTGTGTGTGTGATTAAAACTATCCAACTTGTTTTGTTCATGTCCTATTTTCTTCATGCAAACAGTCAACTAGAAGCAACAATAAAAAGTTTTTTTTCAGACTCCAGAAACATTACCTGCGTTCCCAGAGCCTGAATGTCGTGCTCGAAGGTGGTGTGCATCCTCTGCAGGGTCTCCACAGTATTCTGGTCCCGGCCCAGCTCCTCTGGGATCTTCTTGTGTTTGTCCAGGATGCGATTAAGGATCTCCTTGGCATCATGATAGAACTTGTGGAGCTCGTAGGAGGCAGCGAGGATCTGAGTTCGCGTGTCGATAAGCTCCAGCAGGTCGGCCCAGGCCTCGTTCAGGCCGTCCTTCCACTCAGCGATGGTGGCGGCGTCGCCATGGCCAGAGTTGATGAGGTCATCTGCCAACCGGTTGACGGTGTCCACACGCTCCTGGCCAATGTTTCCTGTGTCGCGTGCAAATTCCCTGAAACGTTCCTGCAGCATCTGAGGAAAAAAAAACAGTGCAATGAATGGGTGTCAAATGTATTTAGCGTTGGATCAATTCATGGTCGGTTCGTTTTTATGCTTTAAAATATATTCAAGATTATGTCTGATGGAAAAATGTCTGATAGAAATATTTTGCTTCATAACAGGGCTTCACATGACCAATTCAAATAAAATGTATGCATGACAGAATAAACTAAAATATATATTTTTTTAAATCCAGACTTTTTGATTAGCAATAATTTATTAAATATAATAATAATAAATACATTTTGTGTGAAAAAATAGCAAGGTTTAAGTGCACCACAACAGCTACAAATCATAATCAGAACTGGTTTGATTGATCCTGAAACTTTTTGTTTGTTTGCTGTTTATTTTGGCAGAAACGTAAAATAAACAGATTTAAAACTACAAGTATCAAGACTGTAGATGCAAACATGAGGATCTAGGAAGAAATTTAAATCCCTTCTATTGTCTTATTTACATGTGGACAACATGTTTAACATTGTTAATCAAAGAAGTGTGCTCAATGAAGACGATTAACAAACTCTCCAACTATCCTAATATTTTATCAAAGAATGTGAGTGAAGCTCTGGCCACAGCTGATATCAGAAGTGTACCATATTTTCTGCCGTACACGTCGCACGCCCTGTAAGTCACATCAGTCCAAATATGTCTAATAAAGTGGAAAAATCCATAAATATATGGCCAATAGATATATGTTGTATTTATTATGCGTCACCGCTGACGCGTCGCGTTTGTTACGCATCACCGCTGACAACCTGGAAATGTGGGCCGGTGTTGTGCCAAAAATCGATGGGCTGCCAAATGGCGGCCACGGGAGCGTGCACGGGAGGACTTTAACAAGAATTTAACAAGATTAACACTTAAAAACTATTATTTGTTTGCTCAACATTATAGCAAAGGTGTGTCTCAGTTGAACTTGTCCTGAATAAATGCACTTGTATTTTGCCGGGGTGACGCAACAAAATTAAGCTGATTTGACGGTTGTTCCAGGCGAGCTGGATGAAGGTGGACGTATATGGAAAGCCGATTGTGTCATTAATAGCCACTTTTACCTGTTTCCATGACTACTCGATTGCCATCTAGCAGCTGAAAATGGTAGTGTTCAATATTTTCAGTCAGAATGAATGAAAACAATCATATCTCAGCCAAAAACTGGTTTATAAGTATGGGAAAAAAATCCATAAATACGTTGCTTCAGCGTATAAGTCACAGGGCATGCAAGTTATGCAAAAAAAATGCAATTTATAGGCTGAAAAATACGGTAATTTCCATAAATGCAATTGAAGTAAACTGAAGGAAAAACATCCCTGAGCAGCGAAAGCACCCATTTCAAACATTTAAAGATGCTGTGAACCAGACTGTGGACACAGGAAACCTACAAATATATAAACATCAGGAAGCCTGGATCAAAATGAAAACTTTAGGCGTCCGTTTCAGAGACTGTAGCTGAATTGTTTCAGATGAAGAAAAGAATAGTTGCAGTCAAATCTTTTTCAGCTCGAGATAAAAGAACCATAAAAACAGCTAAGCTTTTATTAAATTGGATTTTTTTCAATGCATTTCCACTCTTCTGTAACCATCAGGTTTTGTGTAACTACAATCAGACGTATAAAGTTGAGATGTGAAAACCATACATTTGGCTTAGAAGATACGTACAGCAAGTCTCACACAGAAGAAATTAATAACTTTTGACTGTTTTCTGTAGTTTGGGTTTGAATTGCTGTGAAATGTGTTTGTGGGACTCACAGTGACGTGCTCATAGTCCTGGCCGAGCTCATGAGATCCAGCCACCACCTCTCTCTCTGCAATCCACTGCTCCAAGTCGTCCACCTCCCGATTGAGCTGGAAAAGTCGGAAACGCTCGTCCAGTTTCCCCCGACGCTCCTCGGACAAATCCTTCAGGCCTGCGTACAGCTTATCCACCTGAGACTGGCGCATGCCGATGCGCTCGCTGCGGCAGGAAACAAGAGCATCAGCAGTCATCGCTTTGCTACTAATTTAGACCTCTTCAACATTTTCTACACCTGCACCTCACCTGTCGGGGTGTCCAGCTGCCACCAGGCCCCGGCTCGTGCTCGACAGCTGGTGGACCGTGTCGGCATAGTCCTCCACAGCCTGCTCCAGGATCTGATGCTTCTTCAGCATGGCCACTGAACTCTGTTCGTCCTGCGAGGAACACAGAGGGGTTACTGCTCCTGTTGCGCTTAAAGTGAAAGGTTTCAGTTAGACAAGCTGAGGAGGAAATGAAACAGAACCTGGAACTAAAGTGAAAAGTTTATATATGTATATATATATATATATATATATATATGTATGTATATATGAAAAAAGAAATAGCTCTACTGACTTTTTGAAGATTTTCAAAATAAAATACAACAAAAACAACTAATTCAACTCTGCTCAACTGAAAATCATTGAATCTCTTTAAACTATGTCTCAAATACGCAGGAAGCATTTGAGACATAGCTTCAGACCATAGAGTCTTCCACGCCCTCTCCTCCAGGGCCCACCCTTACCCTCGTCGATCTAGAGGCCCCAGAGGCCCTCTTAGCACCAGCAAACTGTTTTGTTTTTTCCACTTTATAGTATGCTGCTGGTGGAGAATCAGTTCTGCTGCTGGTGGAGAATCAGTTCTGCTTGGTGGTTCCTCAGACTCAAGAAGTCCATTGGATGACGTCCGAAACGTCTCGGCACAAAAAAAAAGAAACCGTCCAGATGACCTGACTGAACATTGTTGGATTTTACACCTGAATTATTGAGCAAGAACTTTGGTATTTTGAACCACTAACTTTTAACCTTCTGTTTCTTTTGTTCCAGATATATAAAAATCCTTGAAACAAACAAACAAAAGAGCCAAGAAAAGTCTGACACTGACTCAGCTTTTACGTTTGCCTTGCTCACCTTGGCCTTCTCCTCTGACATCATGTAGAGCTCCTGTTCGCTCATCCAAGCCTCGGCCTCAGCAGCATCAAAGTAATACTGCTGGGCCTTGTGGGCCTCATTTAGACGTGAGTGGCGATTCTCTGTCTCTTTCTTGATCTGCTCCCACAGAGACTGGAGGTCTGCGAGTCGCTGGCGGATCAGCTCTGCCATGGGGCTGCCTTCCCTCAAAATGTGCTGGCTGCGCTCGAAGATGTCGTCGTATCGAGGCTGGTGGCCCTGGATCTCTTTCTGCAGCGTCTGCAAATTTCAAAATGAGACAGAAAAACACCATTATTCAATTTTACCTACGTATCAACAAAGATACGGCAATTGAAATTGAAAATGGACATTTTTTATACCAAGTCTTTGGAGTTTTGTATAAGAGTGTAAGACTCGTTTCACCAGTGAACAGGGCTGCTGGGTGCCTGGTTTGCTGAGAAATTTTATTGTTTTATCTTATATGGTTGTTTTGACAAATACAAATGTTAACATCTCAACTTCCTGTTCAGTCTCTGTTAGAAAAATGTTCACTAACATTGTTTACTCTGGTCTTCTGTTGCCTTTTAGAACATCGTAACAGTACAGAGGAGTTCAGTGGGTGTCCCTGTCTGTACAGAGGTTTATGGGTGTCAGGGAGACACCGTAAGTCAGTTTCCAGGTTGAGATAAGAGAATGTTTTGAGTGACAGAAGAACGGCAAGTTCTCATGGCAGGAGGGCATACATTTTCTCAGACGCGATATAAAAACATTCATAACCCTTGACTGAAAAATCACAATATTCTCTGTTCATTCAGTTCTGTTAGGTTAGGTTATTTTATTAATAGCCAATGGTAGATTTGGTTTGCAGTGGTACAAAGCATACATCCATGCACAGTCACACTGTAAAAAGTAAAGAGTACCTCAAATAAACTATTCACAGATAATAGTTCGGAAGGCTCCACAAGTCATATTTAAAACAAAGTAGAACACAGAAGATCATGGTCCTACTTCATGGTCGTAACATAAATTAGGGATCCATCCGCGAATGTTTTGAACTTGTAATGAAGGCTGAATATTACTGGCTTTGAAGTGTATGTTCAGAGTAGTGTCATGCAACCTGTGTTGTGAATGTATTTTCAGTACCTTAGAGGAGCCTGACTTGTGATAAGCCATCATCTCTTGTTGAACAATTTTGGAGCTCTTTAGAGACTGTTTGTTATTCAGGTCAGGTTTAAGGCGAACCATGAAATGTTGCTTCAGGTCCTTCCACAACATCTGGACTGGATTAAGGTCAGGACTTTGACTTGGCCATTCCAAAACATGAACTTTATTCTTCTTGAACCATTCTTTGGTAGAACCACTTGTGTGCTTAGAGTCATTGTCGCTGCATGAACCACCTTCTCTTGAGATTCAGTTCATGGACAGATGTTCTGACATTTTCCTTCATAATTCTCTGATATAATTCAGAATTCATTGTTCAGTCAATGATGACAAGCCGTCCTGGGCCAGATGCAGCAAAACATACCCAAACCATGATACTACCACCATCATGTTTCACAGATGGGATAAGGTTCTGATGCAGGAATGCAGAGTTTTCCTTTCTCCAAACACAACTCTTTTCATTTAAACTAAAATGTTCTATTTTGGTCTCATCCATCAACAAAACATTCTTCCAACAGTCTTCTGGCTTCTCCACATGATCTTTATCAAACTGCAGACGAGCAGCCATGTTCTTTTTGGTGAGCAGTGGCTTCTCCTTCAGCCCTGCCATGACACCACTGTTGTTCAGTTCTCCTGATGGTGAACTCATGAACATTAACATCAGTCAATGTGAGAGAGACCTTCAGTTGTTAGAAGTTACCCCAGGGTCCTCTGTGACCTCCCTGACTATCCCACACGTTGCTCTTGGAGTGATCTTTATTGGTCCATCACTCCTGGGGAGGGTAACAATGCTCTTTAATTTCCTCCATTTGTACACAATCAGTCTGACTGTGGATCGGTGGAGTCCAAACTTTTTACAGATGTTTTGTAACTTTTTCCAGCCTGATGAGCATCAATAACTTTCTCTGAGCTCCTCAGAAATCTCCTTTGTTCCTGCCATGATGCACTTCCACAAACATGTTGTGAAGAGCAGACTATGATGATCCATGTTCTTTAAATCAAACAGGGTGTCCACTCACACCTGATCATCATCACATTGATTGAAAACACCTGACTCTAATTTCACCTTCAAATTAACTGCTAATCCTAGAGGTTCACATACTTTTACCACTAACAAATATGTAATATTGGATCATTTTCCTCAATAAATAAATGCCCAAGTATAATATTTTTGTCTCATTTGTTTAACTGGGTTCTCTTTATCTACTTTTGGGACTTGTGTGAAAATCTGATGATGTTTTAGGTCATATTTATACAGAAATATAGAAAATGATAAAGAGTTCACAAACTGCCGGTCAAAGCAGGCTCGTCCTGAGCCTGGTTCTGCTGGAGGGTTCTTCCTGTTATAAAGAGAGTTTTTCCTTTCCACTGTTGCCTTTGTGCTTTCTCAGGATGGGAGACTGTGCCAAAGTGAAGATTCAACGAGTGTGCTGGCTTCCTTAGATAACTTTTATTAATTGGCTTTTTATGAATATGAACGCTTCTGTTCAGTGCCCTGAGATGATGTCTGGTGACTTGGCACTGTAACGGAATTGATTTGAACTGAAACTTTCAAGCAACACTGTACCATAACGTGTAAAACTGTACATACTAACTTGTTAACTCCACCTATCCCACTTTGACAAACAGCCACAGCAGAAAAACTGTATAAAAAGGGACACACAAAGCTGCATATTTTATCTGTACTACTGCATAATTAGTAGAAACATCTATGACAATGTAAATACCTGCACATGTTCCAGCTTCTATTTTGAGACTGAAGACACTTTACTCATATTTGTCACATTTTCTTTTGTTTTGTGTCTCTCCAACTGTACAGCCTCTATTACCTTTCTCCTATATGTTGACCCAGAGAGACGTCAAACGTAATTTCATTGTACATGGGTACAATGACAATAAAAGTTATTTCTTCTTCTATTTAGGAAAATTATGTTTTGGTCCACCAGCCTCAACAGCAGCAGTCTGTTTCCAGACTATATATTACAGTTTTGTGGTGGATTTGGTAGTCCCGTAGGCGTAATTTGTTTTAATAAATGTTGAAGTTACATGCTGTGTACCTGGTTCTTCTTGATGAGCAGCTGGACGGTCTGCAAGTTGTGTCCGTGGTCCGTGGACGTGGCCAGAGGCATCCTCTCCTCCACCCATAGCTAAAAGAAAACCCATGCATACAGAATCATTTATTTCTGCTGTTCTAAGGTTTGCTACAACACTGTCCCAAATGTAAAACGTACAACTACATTTATTCTTCTAAAGCAGTTTTAAGTCTTCTTGCAACAATGATGCCAAAACTGTAGGTATCACTACAATGTATTTACTGATCTCCATTTTTACATGAAGGTGAATTTATTGATATGAAATGTAAAAGCAACACAACCAAGACAGCATCTCTGATAAATTAATTGCAACTTACAAACTATGAAAAAGCTTAAATCAACTCACAATGACGTCACATCATTTCACAACATGAAACAAGACTTTTTTAAAATATCAACCAGACATATCTCAACCTAATATTCAAATTAGTAGTTTTTGAACTCTTAGTCTGTGGTAATAATAAAAATGGGCCAGACTTTTACCCCTAAGAGCTTAAGTACACAAACATTGCTTAAGGTTGTCTCTCATTAAGCTGCAACTGTTAGAGACTGAATGGAGACAGAAAATTGTGAGAAATTAAGCCAATTTTCACCTAGAATCTCAAATGAAGACACGTTGTGACAAATTCTTGGCATATTTCGGGCAAGAATTGTCACGCGTTAGCACCCACATCAACAAAACAATACAGCTGTAAAGATACGAAAACAAAAGGGTTCCAAACACTCAGCCATTCTGTGACTAATTTTAATGAAAACTGGTATTTCAAAGATGTTCAAAATTCCAAAAGCATGAACTCATGCAAGGAACTTGTAATTTTTGCCAGTTTTATTTATCTATCATTTATTGATACTGTATTTTTGGGATTCCAAGGTGCTTTAAGAGAAACAAAACAGATAAGTCAAACTTTATTCGACATTCACAATAACCACATAAAATCAGTTCGAGGTCAGTAAGCACAATCAGAATTAATACATAAAGTGCACCTGATTATAAGGCTCACTGTCAGTTTTTGAGAAAATTAAAGGATTTTAAGTGCGAGTTATAGTCCGAAAAATACAGTAATGTCTTATCTGGTGTTGACAAATATGTTGAAAATATTCTATCAGCAATGATTTGAAAAGTGTTTCCACGTGATGTTTGAAGACCCACAGTGTGGTCCTGTCTGGTCCAGTCCTTGTTTTGTTACATTTTCCTTCCAAGCAGTCAGACTTTTCAGTATTTCTTTTGTAATCAACAGATGTTCAGACTTTTTGAAGTTTTACTTTGAACTTTAGCTGCTTTACATCCCCTGCTACCACAACAGCCTGCACATGTGTGCATTGATCTGTCTGTTAGCAAATATCTTGAGAAACAGTGAACAAAATTATAATAAACTCTCATTGGATGTACAACTGATTAATTTTAGAAGTCTATCGAATTCAAGATGGCTGCCAAACCAGCCTTAGCAATAACAAAATGGCTCTAACCCACTGAAATTTACAGTTATTGAGATAAAACTTGGTGTGATCGTAGCTAAGAGTCATCTCCATCATGCAGTCTGAGCACTAACAGATCACATGAGATCACGTGGAACATTATTGTCAAGATTTATTTTGTTTAAGACACAAATCTGCAATGTTTCCACAGAAAAGGATGGTTCCTGTTTAAAACTTTAGCATGAAAAAAAGACAGTATTTGCAAGAAATTGTCGTCTTTTAGTTCAGTTTCAGTTCAATCCTTGTGGAATAATTTAGGATAGTTTGTAAGGTGAGAAATCCAGAGAAAATCTTAATTTTTATTTTTTTTTATTTATCCTTTATTTATACAGGTAGTCTCACTGAGCCACTAGAACTCATTTTCAAATGAAACCTGTTTAAGGAGCAGATGGTGGGGGTTTTGATCAAGACCAAACTATTACTGGAAAGTCTGGCTGCTTGGAATGAAAACATAAAAAACTTAGATGAAGACACTAAGAGCCCAAAAGCTCTGTAAAGTACGACAGACCACAACATAATGACCATTAAAAGCAGGAAAAGCAGTCATGCTTCGTCATAACTTCCAGCTGTAGTTTATTTTCCATTTCTTATTTTAAGTAGGTGAAACTCTTCCTTGAACACAAAGACAATCTGGACTCAGATCTTAGTGTGATCTCAGACTAAACTCACAATCTCGTCCTCCACGTCCCTGTTGAACTGGTGGATCTCACGAGAGGCCATCAGGTTCTCCCGTCTCTTCTGCAGCGGCGCCTGGAGGCCCTGGAACTTCTTCTCCACGGTGATCCTCTGGCCGTCCACCTCATCTGAGCCTTTCCCCTCCTGGCTCAGGGCTTGTGACTGTTTCTGCAGCTCTCCCACCTCCTTCTGACGCACCTCCACCTGGCTCTCCAGCATCTGAAGGAGCAGCGCAACGCACAAGTCAAACAGGGAGGTGAGGAGAAAGAGCACAAATGTGGACTGAAAAAACACCCAGTGGGTGTGCTAATCTAACGAAACGATCCGAACAAGTAACAACGTCTTTCTGAGGTCAAGAGAACAAGAAATATGAATCAAAAATAGACAAGAAATCTGACAGAACTTTAGAGTAAAACAAGCAGAATGCACATCAACATAGCTGTTTGCACAGTTTTGAGCACTTATTTGCTGTTTCCATGACACCAGAGCTTCTGTTAATAAAGAAAATATAAACTTTTAAGATGACTTTGAAGATCATTTTAACCCATTTGTATTTTTAGGTAAGATAAAGTAAAACGAGCTTGTTCGCGGTGATAATGTCCTGACAATCTGCTGCAGGAACAGCTGGTGTGATGTGAGGCTGAAATGGCTGCACATCAAAGTAAATACAGTAAATAAAAAAAACAAAGTGTATTAAATCCAGAGCGAAGAGGAAGGTAATGAGGGATTTTCAGTTGAACAGATCAAACGCTCTGCTGCTGGTGATGAACTCTAACACGCTCCATCTCAGAAAATTATAGCTCAGACGTGACGAGGAGGCAGCAGCAGCTTTAGTTTGATCATCCCACACACTCTGCAGCTTCGGCTCGGTTATTAAACACACGTTTGGACTCATCAACACGAGGACCGCCCGACAATCAAACTACACACACATCTACTTACTGAGCGGAGCTTCAAACACATCGAATTAAAGATTACAGAACGACCGTCAGATGAGCGTGTGAGTTATGTAACAGCTGGTTCGACTTCCACTCACATGACTAAACAACAGCAGGTTCTTCTCGGGAATTTAAAGGGGACATAAAGAAAAGCTGCCGTTTTCCTTTGTAGGGTATTTTCAGATATCCAAACCCAACTCAGAAACAGACATGTTGCTTCGTTTGTACAATGCTAGTGTTAAAAATATCAGCAATATTTAAAGGTTTCATTTTTTTTTGTATTCTTTCAGCAGCTCATCTGCCTCCTTCTCACCCTCAATCTGGCACACTGCATCTATGAACCTTCTCTTTGGTCGTCATCATTCCCCCTCTTCCTATTCAACATCCTTTGTTCAATATGTCCGCTGTCCCTCCTCTGCACATGTCAAAATCATGTCATCTCAAACTGCATTCATTCACCTCTTTGTCTTTTAACTGGCAGCTGCATTTTTAACATCCTCTACAGCAGGTCTATTCTACTAAACTGCTCGAGGAGCCACAGGTACTGAAAGCCAGGAGCTCAGGGGCCGGACATCCATTTACATTAAGTAAATTTGTTTTAGGGTTAAAAATCTAGTTTTATTTAAATATAAACCCAATGGCGGGCTGAACTGAGTTCATCTGTGGGCCTGATTTAACCCTCAGCTATTAATTTAATTTTTGTTGGAAACAAAGTATTTATATTCAAAAAGGCCTAAAAGTGCCCTTTAACTTTAGGGGGTTACACAAATCCATTCATCATACTACTGAAAGAATACAGGCTTAGTATTTAAAATGTGTAAAACAAAACCTAACAGTAAAGCATCATTTTTACACATTTTGTTCAGCTTTCTAAACTAAAGAGGAATGGTATGTAGTCAAACTGAAACTATATAGAAACTTTAGTTTTCAAGAAAACCTTTGTAAAAGCTGAAGCTGTGAAACATCTTACTGCTCCTCACCTGCTGCTTCTTCAACAGGATGTTGACTGAGGTGAGATCTTTGCCATAGTCGTCAGACTGAAGCTGCCCATCCAGGGTCGTCAGCCATTTGTCGAGATCAGCGCAGCTCTGTGTGAACAGCTCAGCCTTGTTGGCGTCGAACAGACACTTGGCTTTGGTCTGGGTGGTGGACTCTAGGTCGTCCCACATCGTCTTCAGGGACGCCAGCTTCTCTTTTACCATGGCCTCCGTGTCAGGTTTCTCCGACATCAGCGCCTGACCATCCTGCAACACAGTTTGTTTTCAAAATACACGTTTGTTTCATAGACTGAGACAATAAATTACAAGGACATATTGGTACAAGAACAGGAGTCTCAGATACTCATAAAGGAGATGCGTTTCCCTCACAGTGATAACTGACGTCACAAAAACACGTTCAGAGACACCAAGATCAGATAAACGAGAACAAACAAAAGATACAATTTGCTACGATAACACAGGTGAGAACCATCTAAAATAAAATATGATTTAACAATTTAGCTAAACTAAACTAAGTTAAATTAATACAAATTAGGCTAAATTATGATAGGCTAAAATATACTTAAACTAAGCCAAAGTACGCAAAAATAAATTAAGACAGGCATAAACAAACAGTCATTATGCTAAGTTAATATGATGTAAAACAGGCTAAATACTAAGCTATTTTTAAACCAAGTTATACAAACAAACATAAGCAAATAAAAGGTAAATTTTGTTCATAAATGTGCTAACCTAAAATATGTAAAAAAAACCAACAATATTAAGCTACTTTAATGACGCTAAACTAAAGCAGGATAAAATGTGCTTCAAAGCTATGCTATTTTAAGCTACATAGATAACTTTAATAGATAAGTAAAAATAAATTAAGCTATGATAAGACAATACTTTATTATCCGCTTTGTAATACAGTAGTCCCTCGCTACTTCGCGGTTCGTTTATCGCTGACTCGCTCTATCGCGGTTTTTCAAAATAAGATTGGACATGACACACAACTGGCTGATTGATGGATGAGCCGCACTGTCAGCAGGAAATTTTAATTATTTTAAATTATTTAGCACCTGCTGCACATTTGTGCAGCCCATACTGTAGGATAAACTTCCTGCTGCAGCTGATCAGCTGTTCACCGTGCAGAGTGGAGAAGTGGGCGTGGCCAAGAGCGCTTGCTGAGAGCAGAGAGCTGAAATAATGACATTCTGTGCTCTTTTAGAGCTTTAGAGTTTAGAAACATTGTTTAGAATGTTGCAAGAGTGTGGGAAGGGTTTAAAATGCCTTATATACATAGGCATCACAACCATTATAGGGGACATGTCCCCCCCACATAAAAAAAAAAAGTTCATTTGGGCTACCCCACTTTTACTATGAAATATTAGTTCAGGCAGCGCAGTTTCTCTTTCTTCGTGAATGAATCCATTCCACTTGATTAATAGGAGAATACTCAAACCACTAAAACTCCACTCCAGGTTTAACAGGTTACCTCCAACTCTAAACAAAGAGCAGAAACTGTGCAGGCAGCAGCTGCTGAGTTACTGCCTCGGCAGAAAACGTGCACAGGTGGAGGAGAAGGAGACACCTCTGTGTTGCTCGCGCGCCACTTTAGCGAGCTTAGTGGGGGCAGTTGTTGACCGGGGGGGTGGGGTTGATCATAAACATATATTCATGTTAGGAGGATGCTTGAGAGAAGTGGAGCATGTTAGCTTAGCAGTAACTGTGACGTCGTCAGACGCTGCAGGTGGAAGAGACGCTGTGTAAATAAAATGTGCAGTAAAGTTGAAATGTCTTTAAAACCCCACACCTTATTGTCCTCAAGCTTCGTGAGAAACATCATTTAGATGAGTGTTGATTGAACACAAGTAAAAAAGTCTAGTAGTGATGTTTTTTATTTCTCTATAAACACAAATAGTGCCGACCTGACGCTCTTTATTAAAGTGTATTAAAGTTAAAAT